CCTGAACACAGGTATGTTTATTGTTTATACCTGCCCAACAGGAAGTGATGTCAGACAGGAAGGGGTGTCTCAAACGGCGAGACAGGAAGTGATGTCAGACAGGAAGTGAACAGTAGTCAGCTAACAAATCACATGTAATAACAATCAATGACCACCGGAGTGACTTTATCCAGCGTTGCTCAGTGATCAATGCCACATAACGTTACTAGGATTCTCATGCGCGCTCATTCACAAGGACAACGTTATGTCATCTCAGGCGTGTTGATCAGGCACCCCAGAGAGAACAAACGCACGTTCCTTTCATATACTGCGTTCAAGACAAATGTATCCACGCAAGCCAATAAATCCATGCATTGCACGGGGGGGCCCCAGCCGGCGTCCATACATTCGCCAAGACACAGCTCCGCTGCGCATAAGAAATCTCCTCCAATGGATTAATCCCCCAGCGTCTATTTAAACCGAGACACTGAGAGACTAATGACAAAACATTACAATACACTAAAAACACATCCTAATAAAATTTCCACAACATGAATCTTCTATTGGCAGATGGATCAGACAAGGCATATGTGAAGGGCACCTCCTGCGCCCCTTCTCAATGCTCACCCCTCTAGAGCCTTGGCGGCCTCCTGGGCAGAGGAAGCGAATGCCGCACCAGAGCAAATTTGAGAGGTATCTTCGTGGTTTTTCTACTTCCATCCAACATCATCGCCTGGATCTTTTATCTAGTCCGGATCGGGCTTTCGGACGGAAGGTTCTTCAAGCGGTGGTCCCTCCCTAACCTGGTAAGTGCTTATCCTCTCATGGGCTGTCCTGGAAGATGACTGAGGAAAACCGGAGTTAGACTTACCGGTAACTCTATTTCCAATAGTCTTCCAGGACGGCTGGATTGGCACCCCAGTGGTGGTGTTGTTGTTATTGTTTTGGGTTGGTTTAGATTTCTGCTTTTTTTGAAGTTCCGTCCTTCCGTTCTCAAGTTTACTGAGGAGATTCCTGGGGGGGCCGTTCTTTTATTCTCTATGGGTGACCGGTTTCCTGTCCGGGAGGTGGAGCCTCTGTCTCTCATGGGCTGTCCTGGAAGACCACAGAAAAGTCACCAGTTACCGGGAAGTCTTACTCTGGTTTTCACCCGATTTAAAATGTCCAATTTTTTGGTAAAATATCAAAGGTAACGGTTGTGTCGGGTAAAGTTGATGCCAAACATGTCAAGCCTTAAAATTGTGCACAGCCGTGAAACAGCAAAAAACTACAGTGCCCAAAACTGCCCACAGGGGGCGCTTTAAAAGCCAATACTGGTCATCAATTTAGTGAGCGATGGAGCTACAATGCTTGCCCTCCGTCCAACATTTGCAGTCATATGTAACACGCGTGTTGAAATATAAAATCGTATGCACGTGGGGGTGGAGGGTTTTACATTTATTTTAGTTTTTTTATTACTTTTTAGTTCTTTATTTATTAATTTATTACACAACACTTACATTTTTTAAACGTTTTTTTTTATTTATTATATATACACACAACTTTATTGCTATCACGTAAGGGGCCAACAAGTGGAAGGGGGAGGTGATCTCCCTTCGGCCAAGCTGCATACACTGGTGCTGGTTCCAGGCCCTCCACAAGGGACAGTGGTAGAGCTGCAGCTAACGATTATTTTCAAAATCGATTAGTTAGCCGATTATTAAGTTCGATTAATCGGTTAATCGGATAAAAAATAAAAAAATTTTAAAAAATGGCTCCAGTGATGGGACTTCTAGTTTGTATTGAGATTGTAGTCCATCACAGGAGCAAGCTTGGAGCAGTAGAAGTAAAAAAGGAAAAAAAGTGTGGTGTACAATATAGTGAAATGAAAAGTGTAAAATTATACAGCAATGAATGCAGAATGGCGTTCCTCCTTACTTCTTCTCCCCGCGTCCCTGTGCCGATCGTGGATTTGGACGGGCGGTGAGAGTGAGGCGCGGAGGAGGTGTGGGAGCGTGGATGTGGGCAGGTCTGGCAGCGGCGAGCGTGAGGCGGGGAGGAGGTGTGGCGCGCAGCGTGTGGAGCTGTGAACAGGGCCAACCAATCAGAAGCCGATTAATCGATTATTGAAAAAGTTGACAACTTTTTCAATAATCGATTATGTCGATTAGTTGTTGCAGCCCTAGACAGTGGAGCCCTCTATAGCCAGCAGAGCGGGGCTTCAGCACACTTTCAGCATCATACATGTGATCAGGCAGCTCTGCAGCCACCTGATCACAATAAATATATATATAATGTATATAGAGACAGAGAGGTTTGTCATTCGGGTTTAAACATTGATAGGTTGCTGCCATCTTCTGTCTTTTGCTTTTCCCACAGTGGAGCAGCGAGCACCACTCAGAATTCATCTCCTCTGCCAGCTCAGTGCTCAGCTCAGCTGTATCGCTCCTCATGCCGAGCGGAACCTCTGCACGTCAGCTTCCTCCCAGCGTCTCTGGTGTCGGCGAGAAGAGTAGAGCTGCTTTCCCTCTGGGATTGAGTCACTCCCCTGAATATGTGCGCCAGCGGGTGGCTTTAATCGGGTGAGGTGACACGAGTAGATTATTATTTCATGGGGTGAGGTGACGTCACCCTGATTATTACATTTTGTCTTTTGTTGTTTTCTAGTGACGCCGCGCACAGGGTGCACCCCCTGGCAGGACAGGGAGTAAATATGGGCTTTGCTGATGTGGCCAGTCTACTCAATCATCTGAGCAGCGCTGCATTTGATGGACGAGATTTAGGTGAGCACATCGAGGAGATGTCCGTCCTGGAGCAGAGTCCCCGGGTGTTATATGGAGAGAGGGGCGTGGTTCATGGAGAGGGGTGTGGTTCATGGAGCGGCGGATGGAGAGGGGTGTGGTTCATGGAGCGGCGGATGGAGATAGGGGCGTGGTTTATGGAGCGGCGGATGGCGATAGGGGCGTGGTTTATAATATTTCTCTTTGTCAGGATCAACCAGACATCTCCTGGCCTATGAGACCGAGCGGCAGCGGCAGAACCTCCCTCTAATGGCCGGCATTGACTTGCTGAAAAGATTGTACAACACTAAGCAGCCTCCAGTTGTGCTTTTGCGCACTCTTGGCCTCCAAGCTACGAACGCCATGATGCCACTGAAGGTAGGTTGTCCTTCCCATGGACTGTGCCGTCAGTGACCGGGGAGGGGGATGGGCTCATCTAACTGTATTTCTGTGTCATCTCCAGGAACAGATACTGGCGTTCTTTTTAGAGGAGCCGCGTCATTATAACCCTCCCCCCCTATAGAGACGTGATGGATGAACGCAGTTTGTGGATAATTCGGAAAAATGAAACAATTTCAGGTTGAGAGTTTTATTCGTGAAAAACACTGAAAAGTGATAAAAATATTTCACCAAATAAATTGTCATTTCCTGTCGTCGTTACATGTTAATGGGTGAAATCTCTAAATATCCGCCGGTTAGAGGCGGCCATGAGATTAAATATACCCCCCATAGAGAGATTCCGATGGGCTCCCCCCACATAGAGAGAGAGATTCCGATGGGCTCCGCCTCCTTTATTCATAACATTAGAAATTCTTTGGATCAGAATGTTTTCGGGTCGGGTCCCGTGCGATTGAACAGAAGGCACCGTGGTTGTGAGATCGCCACTGGTGCTACTCCGATGAAAGGGACTGCAAGACGTGGAAGGCGGCGCCCAGCGTCCAGCTCATCTCCACGTCGCGCACTTTTTTGGTCAGCTGAAAACACAAAAAGCAGAAACGCGATTAAAAAAAAAAGGAGCAAAAAAAAAATCATCAAACCAGCAACAGGAGATCGAATTACCTGCAAGACGGTCCCGTCCTCGAAGCCGAAACCTTCCCTGAGCAGAGCCGTGATGAAGGTCAGATCCATACACAGGAAGTGGCTGTGGGAGGAGTCGCTGGTCATGTGATCACACACTGCCGGGAGAAGACACACGGTTTAGCATGACGCCCTCCGCGTCTATTCTGCATCCGTCTCCGGAACTTTACTGTTTTCTAGAAGATTTATTATTTGTCTCGATTTATTTCGGCCCCGGCAGAAGCGGTGACCCGGGCGGCACATTATTCGCGGTCTCTGTGGCCCTCATTTTTCCTTTATTATATCATGTGACTAGAACTGAGGCAGGTAAGGAACTTATCCGGCTGCGGTGTCTCAGTATACCGCGAGCTGTAGCTCCCTATATACTGAGCCTAGGGTGACGGGAGGACGCTAGTTTATGTCCTCCCGTTACCCTAAGGAGGACTATGGGGAAAAGCCTTAACCTCATAATTCTCCTTAAACCACTTGGTGACCACAGTGTCCCCCCCCTTCCTGTCGCGGCCATTTTTCAGTTACTTTGATTGACATTTATTCCGTCATGCAGCGCTGTACTGACATGAATTTTATACCATTTTTTGGGGACACCGAGCTTTCTTTTGGGGGTATTTAATCATCACTGGGGGTTTTTTAAAAACTATATAATGAAAAAAGTACCGAAAATTTTGAAAAAAAAAAACTTCTCCCGACGTTATGTTATAAAACATTTATTATTACCCAAATTTTTTGGTAAAATATAAAATTCGGGGGGTCACGTCGGGTATATAGACACCAGACATGTCAAGCTTTAAAAATTGCGCGCGCCCGTTAAATCGCAAAAAAACACCATACTCGAAATTGGCCATAGGCGACGGTTTAAAAGCTTTTACTGCTCGTCAGTTTAGTGTTATCGGTGATTGATGGCCCGAGAATTATTGCTCTCACTGCGACGTTCGCGGCGATATGTAACGTGCGGCGCAATGGATGAAATCGTCGTTTTCGCACGTAGGCGGGCTTGACGCATGTGTGCATGTGGGGGGGGCGAGGGACTTTAATTTTTTTTTTATTGCTTTGATATGTGAATATTTTGTAAAAAATTTTTATAACTTTTTTTAAACCTTTTTTTTCCACTGAACTTTATTGCTATCACATAGGAAGCAAACAAGCTCCCTATGTGATAGCCAATTTGCAGTGACAGGTACTCTTTATGGAGACATCATGGGGTCTTTAAGACCCCTAATGTCACCTAGGGACCCCCCAGAGAAGCTGATGAAGCACAGACCTGCTTCACCAGCTTCTCTCCGGTTTCTGTACCGGAGAGTGACACTGAATGCAGGAAGTGATGTCATGCACGTCACTTCCTCCATTCAGAGGAGGAGATCAGAGGGAGATCGGGTACTGAGCTCCGGCCGCAGAGCTGCTGTGCTGGTCCCGGGCTCACACCGGAGCTCGGGATCACCGGCGGCGACGGAGGGGGGTGGGGCTGCACACCCGACCGCATATTACAAGCGATCGGGCATCTCTACAGACGTTTACATTCAAAGCTGGTTTCCCGCTCGTGCGCGCCGCCTAGCGGGATGGGACGTCTAAAAACGCCCACCCGCCCTCAAGAAGCCGCCGTCCCGCCGTTTAATTACACCGGCCGGACGGCAGGTGGATAAAATAATCACATTTTGGGGAATATGGAAGGAAATGGCGAGCCTTTAGTTATTCTGCTCCCTATGCTCCCCGTTCTACCTTCTCTTGCTTTTTCTGCAAAGTCCCGGACTTCCAGCACCCCGCCGTTATCGTAATCTGAAATCACAAACATCCCGCATGAGATGTACAGACATTGGTCGGGTTACGCGGACTCCGGGGGCGCTCGGCGCTCACCGATCAGGCTGCCGTCCACAGCGCGGTCGTAGTAGTAAGAGAAGGCGTAGAACGGGCTGCGTCGGATCTCATCCGCCTGATGCAGCTTTCCTTCTACAATGCTCCGGACCTCCGAGTAACACAGATGAAATCCGGCAAGACCTGGAAGGAGAAATGGAGGGGACCCGGATGTAAAGAGAGCCCAAGTACAGACACGCCCACCTCCTATACGGCACAGGCACGCCCACCTCCTATAAATTCCCAATATTCCGGACAAGGAATTTAAAGGACAAGCTCACTTTTGTGCTTGTGTGGTATTGATGTGCTTTATCCCACATCACCATCAGACTGCCTGCCCCTCCTAGAACCTGAGCGCACCCCTCACCATCAGACTGCCTTCCCCTTCTTTAGAACCGGAGTGCACCCCTCACCATCAGACTGCCTGCCCCCTCCTAGAACCTGAGTGCACCCCTCACCATCAGACTGCCTCCCCCTCCTAGAACCGGAGTGCACCCCTCACCATAAGACTGCCTGCCCCCTCCTAGAACCTGAGTGCACCCCTCACCATCAGACTGCATCCCCCTCCTAGAACCTGAGTGCACCCCTCACCATCAGACTGCATCCCCCTCCTAGAACCTGAGTGCACCCCTCACCATCAGACTGCCTCCCCCTCCTAGAACCTGAGTGCACCCCTCACCATCAGAGTGTCCTCCATATCTGTAGGTCACCCCAGAAAACGCCCACGATCCATCCAGGGTGGGTGGAAAACAGTGGCTGCGGAAGGTCTGCTTCTGTTGGACTAATAGAGAGGTGAATGAGCGCGTCATATATATACAGTGTGTGTGTGATGTCATATATATATATATATAGTGTGTGTGTGATGTCATACTAGGATTATAGATTACCACAACCTGTCCTCGTTCAGTGTGATATTACACATAGCCGGGTCTCACCATTGTTCATCAGCTCAGTGAACAAACAAACCGTTCTCATGGGTTTCAAAATACTTTAATGTCACATGTCATGCGGACTATAATTCCCTCAGCCTGGGAACCCCACATCAGAGAGTATTCCCAAACTGGCAGCTGCCGCTCTTCTGCAGCACCCCTCCGCTGACCATACAGAGAGGGGGGGTCACATGCAGAGAGCGCCCCTCCGCTGACCATACAGAGAGGGGGGGTCACATGCAGAGAGCGCCCCTCCGCTGACCATACAGAGAGGGGTCACACGCAGAGAGCGCCCCTCCGCTGACCATACAGAGAGGGGTCACACGCAGAGAGCGCCCCTCCGCTGACCATACAGAGAGGGGTCACACGCAGAGAGCGCCCCTCCGCTGACCATACAGAGAGGGGTCACACGCAGAGAGCACCCCTCCGCTGACCATACAGAGAGGGGTCACACGCAGAGAGCACCCCTCCGCTGACCATACAGAGAGGGGTCACACGCAGAGAGCACCCCTCCGCTGACCATACAGAGAGGGGTCACACGCAGAGAGCACCCCTCCGCTGACCATACAGAGCGGGGGTCACATGCAGAGAGCACCCCTCCGCTGTTCATACAGAGCGGGGGTCACATGCAGAGAGCGCCCCTCCGCTGACCATACAGAGTGGGGTCACACGCAGAGAGCACCCCTCCGCTGACCATACAGAGTGGGGTCACATGCAGAGAGCGCCCCTCCGCTGACCATACAGAGAGGGGTCACACGCAGAGAGCACCCCTCCGCTGACCATACAGAGAGGGGGGGTCACATGCAGAGAGCGCCCCTCCGCTGACCATACAGAGAGGGGTCACACGCAGAGAGCGCCCCTCCGCTGACCATACAGAGTGGAGGTCACAGGCACAGAGTACGCACACACACATATTTTACGATTTACCTACAGACACCGAAGCTCCGAGAACTGCAAGACGAGCGGCCTTCAGACCCAGACCCAGATAACTGGAACCACAAGAATGGGATTCATTATTACCCGCTGAGCCTTATACAGGGAGGAGATTCCGGGCATAGATGACCCACCTGTGTGTGTAGAGACGATACGTGCTATTGAAGAGCTCAAAGGAAGCCAAAGACTCGTGCGGCGTCTCATCCAACGTCGCCTAAAAATACCAAAGAGAGAAAAGATACAGCGTGACAGACAGCGGTCTACAATACAGAGAGCGGCAGACAACGGTCTACAATACAGAGAGCGGCAGACAACGGTCTACAATACAGAGAGCGGCAGACAGCAGACTACAATACAGCGAGCGGCAGACAGCAGACTACAATACAGCGAGCGGCAGACAGCAGACTACAATACAGCGAGCGGCAGACAGCGGTCTACAATACAGAGAGCGGCAGACAGCAGTCTACAATACAGAGAGCGGCAGACAGCAGACTACAATACAGCGAGCGGCAGACAGCACTCACCTTTGTAAGAGGAAGAAAGGTGATCTGTGTAGATACTCCGCCCAAATCCAAAGTGCCCACACTGCGATCTCCATCTAACCGACCTGGAGGGTAGCAGAGAATATGAGTGTTACACACAGTGATCCGACTGTACCCCCACCTACACTACACAGACATACTGATCCCACTGTACCCACACCTACACTACACAGACATACTGATCCCACTGTACCCCCACCTACACTACACAGAGATACTGATCCGACTGTACCCCCACCAACACTATACAGACATACTGATCCGACTGTACCCCCCACCTACACTACACAGACATACTGATCCGACTGTACCCCCACCTACACTACACAGAGATACTGATCCGACTGTACCCCCACATACACTACACAGAGATACTGATCCCACTGTACACCCACCTACACTACACACAGACATACTGATCCGACTGTACCCCCACCAACACTATACAGACATACTGATCCGACTGTACCCCCCACCTACACTACACAGACATACTGATCCGACTGTACCCCCACCTACACTACACAGAGATACTGATCCGACTGTACCCCCACATACACTACACAGAGATACTGATCCCACTGTACACCCACCTACACTACACACAGACATACTGATCCGACTGTACCCCCACCAACACTATACAGACATACTGATCCGACTGTACCCCCCACCTACACTACACAGACATACTGATCCGACTGTACCCCCACCTACACTACACAGAGATACTGATCCGACTGTACCCCCACATACACTACACAGAGATACTGATCCCACTGTACACCCACCTACACTACACACAGACATACTGATCCGACTGTACCCCCACCAACACTATACAGACATACTGATCCGACTGTACCCCCCACCTACACTACACAGACATACTGATCCGACTGTACCCCCACCTACACTACACAGAGATACTGATCCGACTGTACCCCCACATACACTACACAGAGATACTGATCCCACTGTACACCCACCTACACTACACAGACATACTGATCCGACTGTACACCCACCTACACTACACACAGACATACTGATCCCACTGTACCCCCCACCTACACTACACA